ATACACCACTCATCATACACCACTCATCATACACCACTCATCGTACACCACTCATCATGCACCACTCATCACGCACCACTCATCATGCACCACTCATCACACACCACTCATCAGACACCACTCATCAGACACCACTCATCATACACCACTCATCATCCAGTTAGCTCCAGCTCCAGTCAGCATCATGTGCAGATTTCGTGGCAGGCACAGCACTTTGTGAACCTCCATGTTCAGATTTCGTTGCAGGCACAGCACTTTGGGAACCTCCATGCGCAGATTTCGTGGCAGGCACAGCACTTTGTGAAGCTTGAGGTGCAGATTTCGTGGCAGGCGCTATACAAAATACGTTTTCGAGAGATATAGCGGACGCACGAAATGCTATGTTTTTCAATAGAAAGGGTGGCTCCGAAGCTGGCCAGTCAAGCTTTGCGGAAAGATGTGCGCGAGGCGGTCTCGGGTCACGGTCGGATTATTCTCGGATCATTCTCGGATCATGGGCGGACTTTTCACTTGTTTCTTGAAGTGCAGATGTCGTGGCAGCCACAGCACTTTGTGAACCTCCATGCGCAGATTTCGTGGCAGGCGCAGCACTTTGTGAACCTCCATGCGCAGATTTCGTGGCAGGCGCAGCGCTTTGTGAACCTCCATGCGCAGATTTCGTGGCAGGAACAGCACTTTGTGAACCTCTATGTGCAGATTTCGTGGCAGGCACAGCACTTTGTCAAGCTCCATGCGCAGATTTCGTGGCAGGCACAGCATCTGTGGAGCTGGAAGCTGAGAACTGGCGACTTTGTAGTACAACTTTAGTACGCGGAGTATGTGCGGGGCTGGAAGATGAGAACTGGCGACTTTGTAGTACAACTTTAGTACGCGGAGTATGTGCGGAGCTGGAAGATGAGAACTGGCGACTTTCTAGTACAACTTTAGTACGCGGAGCAATGTGTGGAGCTGGAAGCTGAGAACGGGTGACTTTGTAGTACAACTTTAGTACGCGGAGTATCTGGGGAGCTGGAAGATGAGAACTGGCGATTCTAGTACAACTTTAGTACGCGGAGCAATCTGTGGAGCTTGAAGCTGAGAACGGGTGACTTTGTAGTACAACTCTAGTGCGCGGAGTATTTGGGGAGCTGGAAGATGAGAACTGGCGACTTTCTAGTACAACTTTAGTGCGCGGAGGGGAGCTGGAAGATGAGAACTGGCGACTTTCTAGTACAACTTTAGTACGCGGAGTATCTGGGGAGCTGGAAGATGAGA